AAGTATAATTATGTAAAATATGGAAAAAGTCCATATTAACAAAAACATAGCTTTATGAACATGAATTCCTCAAACCATTACCCAAGACATGAACACAGCTCTTCTCAAACCTGTTGATGAAGATGAAGTCAAACAGTCCCTTTTCAGTTTCAAAGATGACAAATCCCCAGGGAAAGATGGAATGACCGCAGCTTTCTACCAACATTTTTGGAGTTTGATAAAATCTGACATCATGAGGGCAGTTCTTAGCTTCTTTCAATCAGGTAACCTGCTGAAATACTGGAATCATACTGTGTTATCTCTGATACCAAAGTGCCCTAATCCTGATCATCTGAGTCAATTCAGACCAATAAGTCTTTGTAGTGTAATCTATAAACTTATATCCAAAATTCTGGCACAAAGACTTAAGGGATGTCTACAGCACTGTATTAGTGATCATCAAGCAGCTTTTATTGAAGGCAGACAGCTGACTGACAATGTGATCATAGCTCAAGAGGCTTTCCATTACTTGAATAGACATTCTTCTGGTTCAAACTACTTCATGGCTCTTAAATTAGATTTAATCAAAGCATTTGATCAGTTGAATGGTTCTGTATCAAGAAAATTATGATTCAAATGGGATTTCAGTCTGATTTTGTGAATATGATAATGCTGTGTGTCTCCTCTGCCACATTCTCTTTCAAAATCAATGGACAGATTAGTGGTTATGTAACACCCTCAAGGGGAATGAGGCAAGGGGATCCTCTCTCCCCATACCTTTTCCTTATTGTTACAGAATTGCTCACTGCCCTAATCCATAACAGCATTTCAGCGGGTCAGCTCAAAGGATTGAAACTCTCTAGAAATGGGCCATTACTCTCACATATATTATTTGTTGATGACTCTTTGTTCTACCTTAAAGCGGGTGTAGACCAAGCCGGTTTTCTTATGAATCTGTTGGAGAAATATAGACTATTCACAGGTCAGGCTGTGAACCTCCAGAAGTCTGCCATCTTTTTCAGCAGAAATGCTCCTACCCAGCTTCGGAATTCTATTTGCAGATCCTTGAACAATATTGTTTCTCACAGATCAATGAGGTATTTGGGTCTGCCTTTAGGCATTGGCAGGTCAAAGAAGGAAGTTTTTGATTATTTGTTGAACTCTGTCAGAGCTAAACTCACATCTTGGAAGGCTCAGCTGCTAAGTCCTGCTGGTAAGGAAGTTTTAATCAAATCTGTTCTCCAGGCTCTCCCAGTATTTTCCATGGCTTGTTTCCTCTTACCAGTATCCATATGCAAAGAAATTGAAAGACTGTGTGCCAAATTTTGGTGGAAATCTGGGCCAGAACAAGCTAAAGGAGTATATTGGAAGAAATGGAGTCATCTTACACTTCCCAAAGAGGATGGGGGATTAGCTTTTCTTGACCTACAGCTCTTTAACAAAGCTCTCATTTGTAAGCAACTCTGGAGGGTAGCATCTCAACCTGATCTCCTGGTAAGCAAAGTACTAAAAAACAGATATTTTCCAAACTCCTCTCTTGCAAATGCTTCAAGTAGTCACAGTGGGTCTTGGATGTGGAATTGTTGGATGAAAACTTTACCCTTCTTTGCTAAATGGGTAAAAATTGAGATCAGAAATGGGGTAAACACTAGACTCTCTGACCTGAATTGGATTCCTAACCATTGTAAACCTTCTCCTTCACTCATTCCTATTGCCAGAGGACACCTTGTGTGGGTTAAAGAGTTACTAACTGATGATGGCACTCAGTGGAATTCTTGGCTAGTCAGACAGGTCTTTGATGAACTTGATAGCAAGGCAATCCTCAATATCTCTACTCTGCACCCTGGAAGGAATGACAGATTATACTGGGGTTTACATAAGAAGGGCTATTTCTCTGTCTCCAAAACTTACTCTCATCTTAACTCTCAAAGGGTTCAGAGCTTAGATATTCCTGAAAGCAGCTCAAATTCAGTGGCCAAAAAATCCATCCTATGCAGACATTGGAAATTAAAGATAGCAGGCAAGATCAAACACTTTCTATGGAAGTGCATCTCAGGTACCCTTCCTGTTGCAACTCACTTGAGAAAGAGAGGAATTGACTTGGAGACCACCTGTGCTATTTGTGGAGCAGCTGCTGAGTCCACTGAACACATTCTCTTTTCTTGCCCCAGAGCAGTTAATGTTTGGAAATTCAGCCCTTTGGATTGGAATAATCTTCACAGCTACACTGATTCTTTCAAGGCATGGTGGTACAAAGTCTGCTCCTTGGATAACTCTGAAGTGGCCGAGGCAAGAATACAACTTACCACCTATATCCTTTGGTGGTTGTGGAGATCAAGGAACTTGTGGCTCTTTCAAAACTCTCTTATCCCTGAATTCACCCTTGTCAAGATGGCTCAATCTGACTGGATGGAGTTTTCTTCAATTGCTTAACTATTTGCTGTGGTTTTTTCATTTCTGTGGCTGTGACTTGAGATGGTTTTCCTTGCTAGGCTCCTGGGCAGTGGCTGGTGGCTTCTCTTGCTGTGTTTGTGTTAGTTGTTAGTCCCTTTCTCTTGGTCTGTTTGTTTAGGTTGGTTGTGTTTGTAAGTTTGTATTGTATGGGTTTGTTTTAGCTGTGGTTTTTTGATTAAGTTTGTTGGTTGTTTGTTCTGTGTTAGTTCGTTTTGTTTAGTTGTCTTTGTTGAGGCTCTAGGCCGCTTTATGCGTGCCTCTCATGTTTTAGCTCTCGGTTCGGTTGTGTCTGTATTCGAACTCTGTTCGCTTTCGAGTTTTTAATATAGTTACCCCTGTCGTTTCGGAAAAAAAATAAAAAAACAAAAACATAAATGAAAAACAAATTGACTCGAAATTTGAAAAGATTTTCAAAATATAAAAATAAAAATAATTTCCAAACAATATGGTATGCCAACTTTCTTCCAAATAAATCTCTCTTCCATAAACAAAATCAAATCTTCAAACCAAGGTTACTTCCAAACGGTATGCCAAGAAAATTAGGGAATTCTCAAAAGAAAATGATATAGAACACAGATCTCTGTAAAACTGATCTAAAAGTCTAATTATGTAAAATATGGAATGAGTCCATATTAACAAAAACATAAATGAAAAATAAATTGACTCGAAATTTGAAAAGATTTTAAGATTTAAACCGGTTTCCTTAAGTGATAAGTTTTGACCAGAAAACCAATGATTTTTCCATCAACCTGTTTCAATATATACTAGTACGAATCCCGTGCGATGCACATGTAAGAGATAATCATTAATATTTATAAATTAAAAACTTTCATTAAATACTATTTAATTAAAAACATGGAATCTATATGTAATACAATGTACATATATTAATTTATTGTAAATGCTATATAAAATTTAAATTGTGCAACTAAATAAATTTGCTCACTTTATATCATATATTGATTAGTTTATTTCCCATAGAAACAACCATCAATGCCAAAAATAAATTCGTCCACTTTATACCATATATTGATTAATTCATACGATTTAAATAATTAAGGTATCTTAAAGTACGGATTAATTACTTTCTTAAATAATGAGCCGCAATTTACATAAGTGATCATTTAATATATACTATAAATATTTAAATTAATTTCCAAAAATCATAAATAAATTTTTTTTAGGAAAATGATTACTATTTGAAAAATAATCAAACTTTTGTATCCTCTCGTATATATAAGAGAACGCGAGTTTTTTTTAGCGCTGTTCTGGGCCCAACACGTGGCAGTTTTTATGGAATTTTTTTTCAAGAGGTAAGCGAAACGGCGTCGTTTCGGGGCGCTGGAATTTTAAGAGGCCACTGGCCACGTCCCTCTTTAGCAAGACGACGTCGTTTTTTCCCTATGCATGTCGACGTTGTTTTGGTGCACATTTTGGGACCTGAAAATTTATTTTTTTCTTTCTTTTTTTTTTCCCCTCTCAATTCCTCTTTTTCTATCCATCCGCATGTCTTTGATAACAAATGAAATCAATATTTTTTAATGTTTCTTTTGTTTTCCATTGTTTGTAATAGTGAGATTACATCCAATATATAAAGGTTGCAAGAGATAAAAAAGAAATCAAGATCAAATCAAATCAAATCAAATATCTAATTTCCAAAATAACTACTACCAAATCAAGATCATATCAAACCAAAGATATCTTACTAAAATAACTAAAGTCTATCTTAACACCCCCCTCAAGTTGGTGCATGAAGATATCGAATGCCCAACTTGCTTAGAAATTTCGAGAAATCCTGACCGCCCAACGCTTTGGTGAAGATGTCGGGTAGCTGAGCTTTAGAAACACAATCAGGAGCTATAGGAGGACCGAAGGATCGAAAGATTGAAGGACTGAAGGACAGAGGACCAAAGGAACGAGAACCGAAGGACTTGATCAATTGTATTTAATATCCGAAAGATCGAAGGACTGAAGGACTGAAAGACAGAAGGACTTGATCAATTATATTTAATATCCAAAGGACCGAAGGACCGAAGGATTGAACGACTGGTGAACAAGGACCAAAAGACTTGATCAATTGTATTTAATATTCAAAGGACCGAAGGACTGAAGGCCAAAGGACTTGATTAATTGTATTTAATCATCTAAGAACCTATCTAATGGATGAGGAATTGAACCATCTAAGAACCAGATTTTTTTTTTCGTGCCTGGAGAGCAGTCCAGAGAGAAGAAGAAATGACTGGAGAAAAGAAAAGATAAAATATATTAATCAGAACAGCGATAGTAAAAAACCATGCTCTGATACCATGTTAAAACTAAGAGATAATGCATAGAGTAGAGAATCAAAATTTTAAAAATAGTTTTAAATAAATATTTAAGAATTGCTATAAACCTAAGATAAACTTAAAATCATAAACAAAAAATTTATAAAAAGAAAACATAAGTAGATTTAAACTAATAAATTAAAAGTTTAAAATTAATTTTAAATAAATGTTGGAGAGTTGTAATAAACTCAACATATAAATAGGGCCATGACCGGTTGTGCTTAGCACAGCCGGTGCCCTCTAGTATACATATAGATAGATAAGGCATGCTTCAAAAATAACTTGTCACCCACCTACAAGGCCAGATATTTATTCACCGCATTGAAACCCGCCCTTGTTGTAGCTTTTGGATGCCTGTAAAATAGCCCAAATACCTCCAAACGTACCATAATTCCTCAATGACAATCATGTCATCGCACCAAGTTACCAGAAATTATCTCTTCGATTAGATAAAACAAGACATTTAAGAGGCAGCAAATTGCAAGTATTCACATTACTACTGACAAGATAGTAAACAAGCTGGACATCTACATACATCCACCTTTGAGTTCAAACAAACATCACAAAAGATGATGAATCACGTAGTGCTTTTCACGATATTGCGGACACATTTTATCAGGAGTTCCACGTGAAGAACATCCAATTTGCACCCATTATCCCCAAACCGACATCATAATGGTTTCACTAGAATAACAATAAATGACAGAATCATGCAAACTTATGTACAATGGCAATGATAGATGGAGGTCAACTTCACCATTGTCAGACTTCTTCCCTCTTTAACCTCGGAGTGAAGCTCTAGGGACAGCTGGTAAACCTAGTTCATCCTCATCCTGCCAAATGTAAGTCTGATATTAGACACATTCGGCCTAAACAAGTCATACCCAAGAAAAGTACACAAGTAAACATAAATGAATTAATATAAAGGAAACAGTATTTATTTCAAAGTTGCAAAACAAGCAGTGATATTAGAATGGTTGGGTGAGCAGAATGATGTATAAGACTTCCAGACGATTCTAAGCAAACAAGAGAATTGTCCTCCCTTGTAACTATTAGTACTAGTACAATACAACACCCGTGTATTACACGGTTGCTAATAAAAAATCTACTCCTAATTTAATTAAAAAAAAAAAAAGAAGTTTATGTTTTTAAGACTTAACAATTCTTCATAAATTACATTATTATTTATATTTAAAATGACACTCTTCACTTGTATGACTACCTACGCCTCATATATTATAATAATTTTTTAAATTCATATTATATAATGGAGTTGATAAATAAATTTATTTAATGGATAAGTTGTTTTAATATTTCTCAATTAATATAAATAGAATATATTTATTCAAACCTAAGTGGCAGACTCGCACAATTCGGATGCACCAAAAATCACATTATTAAAAAGCACTAAAAGTTAACAGACAGATTTAGAAAACCCTGCATTGCATTTATATGTAGAGGGGTTTTCAAAGTCTTGTCGACCATTTTGTTTCGATACAAGTTGTTGCATCTGTTTCTGTTCGAAGTAAATCAGATGACAATACAAAGAATTGGTAAATTGAAAATATCTTTTCAACTGAAAAGTGTTAAGAGCAATAAAACCTCTAACAAAAGGTAGAGAAGTCAAATTTATTTGATCTTGTTATCCATCTCCCAAGTACTGAGTGTTTCGATGATTCTTGAATTCGTGGTAGGAAATATATTCTATTAGAGGATATAATCCTTTTGCACCTAAATTAGTTTATTTGCTTTCCTTAGTTGCTTTCCTAGATTAGTTGTGAATATCAGCATGATTCTAGTTTTCTTGTAATCTTGATTTGTAAGCCTTAATTAGTTCCTGGTAATCCTCTATTTAAGCAATAAAATAACACAAGAAAAGCTGTCAATTCAACAGCATCAAAGATCATGTTCACTTGTGTCATTGTGTTTTGGCCGTGATCTCGCCGGTATATAGTATCATACATTGGTATAATCTTAATCAGTTATTTTGTCTTGCTATCACATGTTTCAAAAATCGAGGCCTAGATACTTTGCTGTAAACCTATCACAACCAAAAAACTAACATGCTCCCATAATCCAACTAAGAAATAAATACACAAAAAGATTGGACATGGTCTATTACTTCTTCTGAATTGTCATAAAATGATCGTTCAAGTAAATAATGGAAACAATACATCAACTCAAATTAAAGCCTCCAGAAATACGGCAAGAAAGTCAAAAGTTATCGAGTACAAAGTACTGATGCATACCTGTGCATTTGCTCGACCTGCTGGAATTTGGGCACGCCCAGTTGGCGCGGATGGCAAGTTAAGCTCTCCATCCAGATCAGGTTCCTTATCAGGTTGAAGATAAGAAGGTACTCCATCACCCTCAGTTTCAAACCCCATATCTGCTTCCAAAGCATCAAGCTCTGCGTAATAGAATAAACTTTCTGAGAAGAAGTATACAAAACCAATATACAGTGACTAAAAAGGCGTGCAGAGAGCAGATCAAATCATGATTGCCATGGTGTGAGGCGTGAGTCTAGGCACTCGTCTCATTGAAGCGAGGTGAGCCAATATAAATGAACAATTCACAAATCAAATCATGATAGCGTATAAACATGCAACAAAATGATACACGATAGAAATCTAACATCTATATAAATGAATAATGGAACTAGTAATCGAACACAGACTCACAGAGTGATAAGCAAAATAAATATTGGACTAACTAAATCAAAACCTATGTTAAAACTTGGAGCAATCAATTCTAGCATAAAGTAAATAACCCACCAGCAGCAGCAGCACAAAACAAGGACAAAAACAGCACAGAAGGCAGAAAAGGCA